GCAGTCCATGTTTGGCACTTCTTTCAAAAATCAGTTTTCTCAAAACGATTTGCCGGATTTGGACTCTTTGGTTCAGACTTAGAACCGTGACAAATTTGAGAGTCCTGAGCTGTAGTGACCCCAAAAAGAACAGAACGGGAGCTCGTTCCTCCCGGGGCGTTCGGGGACGTCTACAACACCAAAGAGTCCAAATCTGACAAATCTTTTGGAAAATTGATTTTGAATCAAATTGCCAAAAATGGACTGCTTTGCTAGATATAGAGTCGTCAGCTAAATATTTTATTTTGGAGAAATTTAGGAAACCCATTACTCGGGCCAAAGGCCATGTGTTCGTCATCACCAAGATTGTCTCGGCTCGAGAACTTAGGTACGAGAGGAAAAGGTCATGAATTGAGCACCCCCGCTCACCCGATCAAAGATCAGCCTCTACTAATCATGATATGATTGCTATCAACATTATATGCTCTTGTTCTGATTATTTAGGCTAGCATTTACTATGTGATGTGCGCATACAAGGTATGAACTAGTTTGCTCGAATTTGAGCAATTCAATTTCATGTTTGTTTTGCAAAGGGTTTGATTTTGCCACTTAACAAAGTGGGCTGAAAGTTTGTGAACTTGCCACTTGACCAAGTGGGCTTAAAAGTACATTTATTGAATCATTCCAATTCAAGCAACAAGCCTTCATCCACAGGCACTCGAACAATTGTAGCACTTAAGCAATTAGCCTCATGGCATGCATGCTAGTCATGGAAATCACTCACACACATGCAAGTATGCTCAAGCACTAAAAACTCACCTAGTAATCCAAGCCAAAAAGATATGAGTTAGAAAAATGCATTATTCCTGACTTTATGCACTATGACTAATGCAGCATAGGCAATAATGCAACTAAAAAAAGTCCCGGCTACTACTATGACATATGAGGCAATTTGATAACATGGGGTTAAACACGTATTCAAAGAATATATTTAAACAACAATGCAGCTAGAATGATGCACCGAGCCTCAGTGCATGCAATACAAGATAAATGGATACAAACATACAATATGCTAATTGAAACATGATGCCCCTAATCTAACCATCAAAAGCGAATAAATAAAAGGGAGAAAGGCGTGGGGTTGGAAGACATGAACATTATTACATTACGCTCTCACGAAAGAGAGTTCGAATGAATGAATTAATCTAACTAACTAATTAATCTAATTAAGCTAATTATTGCAAGCTAAATAAATAACTAAACTACTTAACTAATTATTACAACAACAAAAGAAATAATTATTTAACTAATCTAGTTAACTAAAATAATTACATCATAACTAGTTATCTACTTAACTAATTAAGGAATTACAACACAATTGCAATTAATAATTAAACTAAGCAATTAACCACTCCGCCTCAGGAAATGAGAGATGTGCAAGCCCATGTTCGGTTTCCACCTGAAAAGACCACCGTTTTGCTCTCGAATGCCTCTCTTTGCACAGTTGAACACCAGCATTGCTTCTCACTCTGCTCTGCCTTACCAAAACTCTACTGAATTTTTTATCAGTGGCTGGCCGGCCACTGGTAAATCTTGCCGGCCACCAGTCAGCCATGGTTAAAGGCTGCTGACCATAGAAAGTGGCCTACCGGCCACTAATGCACATATTCATCATGATGCAACAGAGGACAAACAGAGCATATATATGGTATTTTCATGGATTGTTTGCATAATTCATCCCCATTTTCATACACAAATCAAAACGAGACAAACCTTGGTTTACAAACCATCAACTCAAGCAATTTCATTGCATGATGGCTCATAGACCAAGTGTGCAATTTTGATAAATGCAACAAAACAAGATACAAACCACCCCACTTTCATGGAAGATCAAGGGAAGCGGTGACCTTGGAACCTTGAGTCATTTCATCACTAGTGAGTATGAAATAGCCCAAGTTTCTATGTGACCAATTAACATTCGATTGGGCACAAATAAGTGATGTTATCTTGCACCATTTTTTTTAAGTCCCATTTTAGTTACTTCATCTTAATTTACCAGCCATTCCTTAGTACTAGTGGTTACTTTACGCGCCAAGAATTTTGACATCAAGAGGATCTTGATCGACCAACGTAGCTCATGCGAGATCATGTACTATGACCCATTTAAGCAACTGAAGTTGAATAAAAGAGACATGGCTCCCACAACGTCTCCTTTGGTAAGCTTTAACTCTTTTCTTGAATGACCAATTAGTAAGATCATTTTTCCAGTCAAAGCGGCTCGGTAGTCAATCAAGTGGATTCTGAGTTTTGAAAGTCACATTCACCTACAACATCATTATTGGGAGAGCATAGTTGCATGCTATGCGAGCTGAGCATAGACATATCATCAAGTAGTACGGTTCCCAAATGAAGCTAGGGTAATTAAAGAGGTCTTAGGAGACCAAATCATGTCAAAATAATACTTCATCACAGTGAATGGCTATTGTGCTGCTAAAGGATTTGTTCGGATGATAGAGGAATCAAAGAATATGGAGTTATTTAAGGATGTTGGCAAAGAGGCTGGGCAAAAGGTCGTACAGGGGCTTTGTGGAAATAAGGGTTGATGAGAACGACCCAGAAAAGTTCTTTTTGCTGGGCTCATCTTTGTCCTAAACCAAAACAACAGAGATTATGGATTTCTTGATCTCCAATATTAAGGTGTTTTCCTAGACGCCCTATGATATTCCTGATATTGATCCAAAGTTCATATGTCATTAACTCAATGTCAACCCCCATACCAAACCAGTCACATAGAGAACTCACAAGTCAACTATGCACCACGCGGAAGTGGTGGCCGAAAAGGTGGGGATCCTATTGGAAGCAGGGGTAATCAAAGAAGTTCATTATCCAAAGTGGATCCCAAACACTGTCATTATGTCGAGTAAGAATGGTAAGTGGCGCGTTTGCATTGATTATAAGACAGTCAACAAAGCATGCCTAAATGACAGTTTTCCTTTGCCAAGGATTGATTAGTTAGTGGACCTAATAGTAGGGCATAATTAGCTTAGCTTTCTAGATGCATATCGTGGATATCATCAGATCACTATGTAGGAACCGGACTAGGAGATCACTTCCTTTACAACTCCAAAGAGGTTGTACTATTATAAGGTCATGCCCTTTAGCCCGAAGAATGAAGGGGCAACATTTCTATAGCGATCCCGGGTTTACCCTTGTTGTACAGTGATCCGGACATGGGTCCGTAGATGTTGGTAGTTGTTCTTTATCTTGTTTACATTCATTTTTCTTCATATTTGAGTTATAGAATGTGTTGGGCAGGTTTGTTACAGGTTGGTTGAGTTTAGACACCAAAACTAGTTGCCCAGATTTTTGGCCTGTCCGCTCGAGCGGGGATGTTGGCGCTCGAGCGGGGAATACACCCATCCAGTATTTCTTGTGAAGTGTTGTACGCTCGAGCGTGGTATTGGCCGCTCGAGCGGGGTTGAGTGGGTGCCGCTCGAGCGTAGAGTTGTGAGCTCGAGCGGAGGCCTGGTTCTGCAAAAGTGCTGGGCGAGTGCATTCTGAGCTCGAGCGGGAGTTTGGCCGCTCGAGCGGAAGTCTGTGAGTGGCCGCTCGAGCGGGGTGTTTTACGCTCGAGCGGATACCTGGGTTAAAGTCCCGAATTTGTGACTCTTCAAATCACTTTTTCACTTTCTCTTCTCTCTCCTACTTTTCCAAAAAAGACCATTGTTGAGCCTCTCACTCTAGATACTACCTTCTCTCTAGGTTTTGATCTAGTAGGAGTGATTTGCTCACCTTTGGCCTTTACAAAAAAGTTGTTGATCGTCGAGGGCTACATTTTAATCTGAAAATTTCGGGTTTTGGAGCACGTTGGGTTTTGTCATCTTCTCCTTTGGGGCTCCGAATTTGAGGTAGGGATATCCTACTCCTCTCTATGGGTTTTGTCTTTAAATTTTGGTATTTTGAGATGTTGGGCTTGGTTTGGTAATTTTGTGAAAGTTTGGGGCTTTTGTGTAATTTTACAAAAGTTGGGGTTTTATTCATAATAAACCTAGATGCATGTTTGACATAGAAAAATGGAATGATTGTTGAATCATTGATGAAAATGGAACCTAAGGGTTGAAATAGTAATTATGGAAAATGGCCTAATTACATTGTTTAATTAATTGAGATAATTAATTGGTGAGAAATGAGGAAAAGAAATGTTGATTGAATATCCATTTGTGCATTTACTTTCTGTTTTAGAAATAACTGCTTTGGGCTATCGGTGGAAGATAGTCGTGATTGTTGTAGACAATGCATCATGATTAGGCAAACGAAAACTAATCAATGGAACGTGTCATAGAATTTGACGGTTGATAGAATACATTAACTGTATGTATTGAGTGATTGTATATAGAACCAATGTGTTTATATACGTTATGTGTAGAGGAGGAGATAGGGGATGTACTCCGCGGTTTAGGGGAAGATAGGGGATGGACCTCTAAACCGGATAGGTATTTGGAGGAGATAGGGGATGTACTCCGTAGACAGAGCTCATATGCTTGTCTATATGCTTATCTTTGTGAAGTATGGATACAGCTTATATGCTTATCTGTGAATGTGGTTGTTTTTTGTTCCATAAACTGTTCAGAACATTTCTGTTGGGCTATTAAATAGTCCATTTTTTTTGACAAGTTACAAAATGGAAGTCAATGTGTAACAATGGTTGAACCTTACCTGTTGTGGGGTCTGTTTTAATTTCTTTGACTTTTAAATATTTAGAAAAAAGGCATGATTATCTCTTAATCCTTCTAATGTCGCTGCAACCCACAATCAACTAAAGAAGTTTTTCATTTCAATTAAGGAAAATGTTCTCGGTTCCAGTATGTTCTGTGGAAAAGCATTCTGAAGCAGATAGAATGTGATGTTTCACATAATTGTTTGAGATGACTGTTTATCATGCATCCATTCCTGGCTTAAGAAAATATATATCTATATTTTTTCATCATTATTTTTGTTATCTATTGCTATATGGTTATACATACTCTCAACAAACCATTTTTAAGCAGGAAAAATATGAGAAGGCTATGGCTTCGCTTGATCAAATGGAGAAGAGGGTTGTAATGGCAGAATCAATGTTGGAGGCTACAATCCAATATCAACATGGCCAAGTTAAAGCACTAGCCTCCCCCGGGTACATGAGCAATTCCTTAGACTTTGACATTTTGTTTCTCCATATATAACCCTGTTCTTGAGTGTTTAAGAGTTAATATAACTAACAGACCTTTAAATTTTTTTCTTTTTTCTTTTTGTAGCAAAAAACCATGTGAATTTGTAGTGAGAGTTAGTTTTACACCTTAAGAGTTCAGGATATTTTGTTTCTCTAAATATGAAATTCTCAGTTTGCCATATTTTTCGTTATCTAGTTCTCTGCATCACTCTCCACGACACACAGCCCTCAAATGTGTATGATGACATGCACCAAAATAGTGACAAAACCTCAACAACACTACTGACTAATTACCCTATAGACTTTTGGAATAATTTACCACTAACAGCAACATATTTTACAACTATCCCATTGGGTATATATTTAAACTCTGTGTCCATTCTTCTTAGCATTGATGTATTGGTTTTCTGCTTCTTCATGAAGATGGTATCTTATGATGGTAGCATGCTTTGTAGGTCTGTGCGTCCAGATTCTCCAACTGCAGTGCCCACTAGAAGGATAGGTCTACTCTCATTTGGAATGGGCTGGCGTGACAGGAACAAGGTAAGGTTTTATATACTCTGTCCACTATGATTCTTGGTTACTTCATGTCCACACAAACGTGCAGTCATTAAGTATGATGGGTTGTGAAATGAGAGAAATTCTAGGCAATGCTACATGAATGAACATATTGATGGGCGGACAATTCTTTTTATGTCATTCATAATACTAGAGGCGATTTTTAATGAACTGTGTAGGACCTTTCAACTGCCCAGGGTTGGTACCACATGTAATGATTTTTTCTTTATATATATGTTAATTAACCCGCTCATAATTTGATCACCCAAAATCATATTTTGAATACTCATCTCACAAATCTTGAACACCCAACTCACTCACTTCAAACTTTTCATACCACCCTACAACCTGCTCACAATATCCTTTTAATTCTAATCGCATTACTTACGTTAAGAACTCTACGTACCCAGGAAAAAAGGTCCATAAAATGATGCTCTATGGGTCATACCAAAAATCCATCTAGCCCATACATTTATTTTTTGAGTACTAATAGTAAACTAAGGCCCTGTTTGTTAGGGGTATATAAGGGGCAGATATGAGGGGCGACCGGATATAATATGACGTGGGTCCCACATGTTTTCTTGTCTCCCTATATCCCGTGTTTGGTTTCTCCGGATATAGGGAGTTTGGATAGTATATCCCCCAAAAGGGGGGGATATGCAATACCAACCCCCCCATGACATTATATATCTCCCACCATCGGATATAGGGAATCTTTCATCAAGATTACGTACAAGTCATATGGGTTGTCGAGAGCGATGTAGAACTCCATGCAGTTAATTTATTAATTTTGTTTTGTTGAAATAATAGTATATCAATATATTAAATTCTTCTTTGTTTGTGATTTAAGAATTTTAAATTTGGAAATTTATTGAATGATAGATATTGACAAGTGTGATTTCTTTTAAATAAATTCTAATAAAGTTTTTGAAGACCAATATTTCTGGAGCCACAACTGCGACTGCAGCAACTGCCTTGTGTGCAGTCACCGCCACTACATGCTCCATCGTCCAGATGCTTATTAACTCACACACTGCAGATACTGCTTGTCTTTTGGTCATTGAGATTTAAAATAAAATTACATGAATGTAACAGGCAAAAGCGACTGATGCTGAGGATCCCAAAAAAGCGACTAACGTTGAGGATCCCAGTCAAAGCAAATCTACCAGTGAGGAACTCTCTTCGAGCACTAAGCCAGTTGACACCAATGGCCTCCAAGAGCAGGAAAAGTAACGGTAGTTGGCAGTGTTTTACTTAGAAAATTGACCTTGCTGCTTCAAGTACTAGACTCCTTACACCTTGTACATGTTCCAGTAAATAGCCACGTAGTGTTCTTTTGTGCTTGTACCCTTGAAGTTTTGGGTATGGGAGTAATTTAATTGTACAAACATCGATTTGATGAGCCATAGAGACCTTTTATTCCCCTCTATACTCTGTAAAACATACATCTATTTATTGTTTTTTTGTTCATTAATTTATGTTAGTTAGAACTTTGTTTTACATTTCAAGTCAATAAGATTCATTGTTATCATTACTAGATTTTGGTAACAGGTGCAAGATAAATTCTCTCTTTAGAAATTGATTGTTGCCTTGTGCTCTTAGTATTTGTTTTAAGCTGTGAGAAAAACATGACTTTTAACTGTTGTTAATTTAGATAGTTAGTTATAACAAGAAGATTATGCGTAATAAGTATGTTTGTTGGAACATTTATTAGTGTTCCTAAAGATGTTGATTTTATCCCACCTAGAAAACTACCATTCCCCTTTCTGAAAGATTGCAGCTTTGCTAAATGGCTTCGGAGTATAATTGGTACATGTCTCTCCTAAATTTTGGGATGACCTCACGGGCAGTGAGAATTAAGATTGTTAACAATTGGCCCCCCCTTTTTTTTTTTTTTTTTAAAAAAAAAACATAGTCTTTAGTATTTTGTTTTTTTTTTTAATTGGTTAAAATTTGTGCATTTCAAGTCCATCTAATTCTCAAAGATCTCGTAACACAAAACCACCATTTTAGTTGGCTCTTTTTTTACCTTCAATCAAGAACCTTAGACCCAATCCAATCCAATCCAGGAAACTAAACTGGAGGTTCAAAATCCACTCCTAAGCCAGTGAGCCAGTAAAGGGGAGGATATTCTTAACCTTCGTAGTAATGTGGGGAACATACAACTATGCAGGGCAAGATGTTGATATGATACTAACATCATAAAGAACCAAGGTCATGTACCAAGGAAAAGGGGGGGAAAAAAACAGAAAGGAAAAAAATCCGGCATTGGCTTCTGAAAAGACACCATAGCTGGTCAGAGAAAGATAGAAAAACACCCATGTGAGCGGTGGGTACTGTAACTAGCATCAGAACAAAATGGAGGATAAAAGTTAGCCAGTTACTCGACAGAGTCAACCTTTTCACCTTTGATGTATAATTTCATTCAACTAAAGACGATCACTCAATGGACAAGGAATTACCTTCATTCAAATATCAAAGACAACGCAGCCCTCAAATCTTAAATTACAACAACCAAACCAACACACCCACAACACTTGAGAAAGCAGTTTAGCAACAAAAAAATAATAATAATAATAATAAATTATGATCTCCATGTGTATGTCAAATCCGTGATGCAATATAGTTATAGTCGTGGTTTGAATTGTTTTTAATTTTACAGAAACTTATATAATTGAATATGCAGAGAACATAACTGTACAAATAAAAGAAAGGCACAAGAAAATGGGGAAATACCACATACAAGGCAAAACCAGATGTCTGAAGACGAGGCACGAATATTGACCCAATTGGGCTCTCTCACGTATGCATAACAACAAAGAAGGCGAAAATTTTCTCCCACGACAAACACAAAAGGGCTCAGATGTGCGCTGGTAAGTGTGAAGTGACACAAAATGCGATGAGCAGGCATTGCTTGAGCTCTGATCATCTCTGACTGTAGTTTTACCATTGACACATTGCAAAGCATATCTACTCGGATTGAGAAGGAATCCTCAAGAAACAATCTCAATTTAACCTTCTGGTTCGATCCCTCTCCGATCCACTATTGCCATTGAGTCTCTTATCGCTACTGTCTCTCCTTGTCCTAGGAGGAGTACAAGGGGCCCAGCGGGAGCTTTGGACTGGCTGGGTTTCAGGGTCGTGTTTCTGCGAAGCAAGGTAACTCAAAGCTGTTACTACATCGGCTATGACCGGGCGCATTGTAGGCTGCTCCTGAACACACATTGCTGCGACTGCAAGAGCTTGGTACAACCCCCTCATGGGATATTGGCCTTGGAGCATTGGATCAGCCATCTGTGAGAATTTCCTTCGATCTTTGAATAAAGGTCTTGCCTGCATCACGTCAAGAGGCAGATGCATGTTAACAGATGTTGTATGTGCAAGCAGTGTGTGATGAGAAAACATTGAATCATTTAGGTTGTGTTTGGATCAAGGATTTGCAGAGAGAGAGGAAATAGAAAGTGAAAAGTGAATGAAATTGAAGCTAAATTTTGGTCACATTTTCCTTTCTTTTCCCTTTTCCTTCACAAATCCCTCCTCAAATCCCAGATCGAAACAAAACCTTACTAATTCACTATGAGGTAGTGTGAGAGTCATGATTTTTCATTCTCCTCATGTTCGGAGTTGCTTGGGCATTCCCCGAGAGGTTTGGGCAAGCTTCTTTGTTCATGGAGAGGAACTTGAGTGGGTAATACAAGAAGAAAGGCTTGGTGTTTGGCAATAACATGGTTAGTTTGGGGTGAAAGAAATAGAACTTTTGTTGGGGAAAAGAAGAGTACGTCTTCAAAATTAAGAGTTTTCTGTTGTCTGTTTTGTATACTCTGGTTTCGGGACAATCAATCTGTCTTTGAACCAATTTTTGGATTTTGCAGATACCATAGAATAGGTCTGTCATGTATAAGTATAGTTGATGTAGGTCATCTTTTTCAATACAGGTTGTGCACCCCCTTATTCCTCTTTCTTAATAAATTATAATTATCAACCAAAAGTACTGCCTTCCCATAAAATGCAGGATTAAAAGAACAGTTTCTCATGCTTTCCCCTAATATTTCCTATAAACGAGTAAAATTATTAAAATATGCATTCTGGGTAAACACAGTTGAATCTATCTTATCTCAACTCAAGTTCAGTTCACATGGGTCTTATTTGGTTGAATTTATCTGTATCATATGATTCAATTAGTTGGGTTCAGTCCAACATTCAAGTTCAGGTCTGCCCAAACCAATCACAAAGTTATGCAAAGTAACAATCACGATGTCTTACAACAACAGGCTCGCATTATCTGCGTACACCTCTGATAGTTAGTATCAGTCTTGGTATAACATGTGAGACAATATAGATGCTGGCCCACCATATATTTCAATAAAAACAATGAAAATTTCAAATTTACTTGACCTCAAGTAAGGTTAACAATGAGACAAGTGTGGATCTCTTACCCATGCTACCAGATTGTGCTCTCCCGCAGTTTTTGAGTTGTCGATTGCTTTCCTACCTGTAATGATCTCCAAAAGAACGACCCCAAAGCTATAAACATCTGATTTCAGAGTCAGCTGGCCAGTCATTGCATACTCTGGGGCACAGTACCCATAAGTACCCATAACCCTTGTTGATACGTGCGTATTATCCCCGACAGGCCCGAGTTTTGCTAACCCAAAATCAGATAGCTTGGGATGATATTCCTCGTCAAGCAAAATGTTGGAGCATTTTAAATCACGGTATATTACAGGGGGGCTGGCTCTGTCATGTAAATACTCCAACCCTTTTGCTGCCCCGGCTGCTATTTTCATTCTTGTGTTCCAATCAAGCCGTTTCTTGCCAGGTGGAAGGTCTGCACAATAAGACCCCGAGTTTATTGTCCAGTCACAACGTTTTAAAAAAAGGAAAATCAGGAGATGTGGGCTGTACAAAAAGATAATCCATACCATGAAGATGGTCCTCTAGAGATCCTAGTGGCATGTACTCGTAAACCAAAAGTCTCTGGTCTCCATCAGCACAATAACCAATAAGATTAACAAGGTTACGATGATGAAGCAAACTTAACATCAGCACTTCAACAAGGAATTCCCTGTTCCCTTGCAGTCCATTACGATCAAGTTGCTTTATGGCCACAATCTACACAAAAAGTAGTAAAACACTTTCAGTTTCACCGTCATCCAAGTAATGCAAATTTGCAGCATTAAAGCTTAGTGGTTCGGGATGAGGAAACCATAGCAATCACAGTCTAGAAGGCCTTTTGGAGATATGTGTTGAGTAGACAATCAAGAAAATTTCTTTCAATTTCCCATTAGCCTTTTAGGTAACCGAAAACGTTTGGAAGAAAGAAGAGAGAGAGAGAGAGAGAGCAGTTGTGGGAATTTTTTCCAACTGCTCTTCTTTTCTCTCTTTATTGCATTAATAGTTGAGTAAGATAAACTTGCTCAACCTGATTAGAACTTTCCAGTCGCCCTTTATATACTCTTCCAAAACCTCCCTCTCCAAGAAGACAGTCACCCCTAAAATTTTTGGTTGCAGAAGCCAATTCACGAAATGTGAAAGTCTGGGCAGCAATATGATCAGACCCTCCATCTTTTGAGGGCTCCTTCACCTTCAAAGAGGGATTTTTCTTCAATTTCTCTGAAAACATAAAAAACCAATAAAAGAATGGAAAGACAAAGCTGTGAAAAAAAAACATACAAAAAAAGGGTTCATAAATGTATTATGCATACATATAGTGTAACTAAATTTAGTTTAGTATAGCGGCGATGCGAGGTATTATGGAAGTTGAAAGATGATTTAGCTTCTAAACAGAATGCTTCATTTAATATCATGGTAAGGACACAAACTTGAAGAGAAAACATCAAAAACAAAAACCAAGCTGCACTAACAAACAACTTAGACCAAGAAATGTAACTCTCGAATGTGGGTATCTCTTCCTAGTTCCTATCAATTTCAAAGCAAAAAACCTACCATAATCTCATAGAGATTACAAGTGCCCTTTTCACATTAGTAATTATGGATATTCACTACAAAAATCTTTTGTAGAGAAAAGCATCACCCAAATGGAATATTCACAAACTATCAAAGAAGGGTTTTTCATCTTTGACTTTTGCAATGATGTAAAATGAACAGGAAATAAAATGCCTATTGAACCAAAACACACTCAAAGCCTAACTTGTACTCAAATTATGAGTTGGGTTCAATTATGTTTAAGACCACACACAATACAAATAACAAGCAATGAGGAACTACAGAACCAATGTAGCGATTTCGCCTTTGCAATGCATTACATGAAATCGAAATCAAAATCAACAGAGTCAGCTTCACAAAAAGCTCTACTCTGATATTTTCACAGCATATTATGAATCACCTTAAGAACGTATTTTGAAGCCAATTCACAACAGAACAGGAGGCAAAAATCTAAAATTTGGGATGACAAATAATTCAAAAGAACGTCGAAAACCCACAGCAGGGACGAATCTAGGATTTGAGTTTTGGGGTGGCAAAAACACATGTAACTTTTCATCGAAAAAAATATTGTAAAATTTTAAATTTTTATTTATACCATGAAAAAAAAAAAAAAAATATCGCTATTAATTGGACATTCTTTGTCAACATAATTGAGAACAAAAATATAATTGGACATATTTCTTTTTATTATTACTATGTCTCCATCTACGAAAATTAACTACTTGAAAATATTGTAATCGCCACTTTTTATAATATATATAAAAATATTTATGACAGGCTCGACATCAAAACTTTAATTAATATCTTCTTAACAAATATGATCAATCAAGTAACTTGTTACAAAATTATCTTCCATCTTATTACACAGTTTAATTTTGAAAAAGAGTTATAATTGAAAATGTATGTGTTTATGAGTATAATGATAATCTTCAATAAGCGGTATTAAATTTTATGAACTTATTTTAAGAATGTTATGTTGAAGTAGACAATATTTTTATTTCCAGATAATATTCCTATTTGTAGAGAATGAACAAAAAAGAATGAATACAAAAGATGCATAAGCAAATTAAATTGTGATTTATACAAAGACAAAAAAAAAAGCATATATCACATATGAGCAGAAAACAAGAATAGTAACAAATAAAAACAAACAGAATGCCTTATCCTCGCTTCTTTTATTTATTTATTTTTATTATCAATAAAATCTTGTGTTGCTGATCCACAAAAAAAAAAGAGAGAGAAGAATATAAGTAACTTTAAATGATATAAAAACATAACAAATAACACAAATAGAATAGATCAACATTTAATAAAACTCAATGTAGAAACTATTTTTAAAATTTTGTAATGTAAATAATTTGGAAGGCGTGAACTAATGAAATTTTAGGGTGCAAAATACTCCAGTTTGAAATTATTTTACTAATGGCTAGTGTAATATACATAGTTTCTAAAAATTTTGGGGTGCGACCGCACCTGCCCGCACCCCCTAGATCCAACCTTGATTTGAAGCCACCTAAACAGTCATAATATACGCAGCTTCTTCTTCTTCTTCTCCTTTTTTTTTTGGTGGGTTTGAAAATCCTAAGAAAGACATTCAAGCTTTGTTTGGTTGCTAAGAAAACAGATGAATACCATTTCTAAGAGTTAAAAAACTTATTCAGTTATCATGCTTTGAAGAAAATGAGCAGCTCAAATGACAGCCAACTAATTGTACAAGAAAGAGCTAAGTATATGAGAAGAATATAAGTAACTTTAAATGATATAAAAATATAACAAATAACACAAATAGAATAGATCAACATTTAATAAAACTCAATGTAGAAACTATTTTTAAAATTTTGTAATGTAAATAATTTGGAAGGCGTGAACTACTGAAATTTTAGGGTGCAAAATACTCCAGTTTGAAATTATTTTACTAATGGCTAGTGTAATATACATAGTTTCTAAAAATTTTGGGGTGCGACCGCACCTGCCCGCACCCCCTAGATCCAACCTTGATTTGAAGCCACCTAAACAGTCATAATATACGCAGCTTCTTCTTCTTCTTCTCCTTTTTTTTTTGGTGGGTTTGAAAATCCTAAGAAAGACATTCAAGCTTTGTTTGGTTGCTAAGAAAACAGATGAATACCATTTCTAAGAGTTAAAAAACTTATTCAGTTATCATGCTTTGAAGAAAATGAGCAGCTCAAATGACAGCCAACTAATTGTACAAGAAAGAGCCAAGTATATATACACAAAAATATTTGAATTCTACTACAAAACCCCCCAAATTATTTCTTTTAATTGTAGCCTATTAAAAAAATCTTTCTTTTAGGATCCACACAAATCCCAGAAATGAAAGCACTGAATTTACCCAATTCTGATGAATCCAAAACATACCCAGATAGTGGTACACTAAATAATCAATTGGGTTCTATTCTATCAGTATTGTAAAAGATTTGAAGATAGGCATTACCAGAAGTGGGTTGGGTCAGATCAAGAGACTGCTTCTTCTTCCTCTTCTTCTTATTTTGGTTTGATTGTCCAGAGCAAGGAAACCAACCCATTTGTCTCCTGCTCAGAACTGTCGAGAGAGAGAGAGAGAGAGAGAGAGAGTGAGTTGGGTATCAAAAGATCAAGAAAAAAGCAGAACCAACACGAGGCACTGATATAGGGAAGAGGAGAGAGAGAGAGAGAGAGAGAGAGGGGTTATTGGGTTAGAATTACTTGAAAATTGAAACAATTTGAGAGGCAGAGATGCTAAATTATTATAGTATCTTCTTGCAAGACTTGGTCAAATCTTAAGCAAGCAAGCCATTATGGCTTATTTTGGGAAGATGGTAAAAAGTGATTTTTTGACTTTTAATTAAATTTTTGGCTTTTTTAGATAAATGATTTGGGAAATTGGTAAAAAGTAACTTTTGACTTTTTTCATTAATATTTGTTTATAATGTCAAATCATAATGAAATGACCAAAGTATCCCTAGCCAATTGAAAAATTACACATTTTTACCCTTTCATTTTCCATCTATGGAAGGTAATTTCGTAATTTTTCTTTTGACTTATAACCAACATTCCAAATCAATTTATGACAAAAAAAAAGTCACTTTTTACGTTTTGGCAAAAAGCCAAAACGCCACTTATAACCAACATCCCAAAATGAGCCTATGTTTATCTGTTTTCCAATCTTTGTATGGTGCATATGTATAATTTATACTTTTATATATTATTATTATTTTTAAATATATGAAAAGATCAGTTTTATATAACTTTTGTCTTAAAGATAAATACTAACCAGTTATTGTGAGTTAAGTTAAAAAGTCATTAAAAAAATTAAAAATCAAAATATTACATTAAAAAATTAAAAATTTTATTTTCTCTTTATTTTTTATATATTTTTCATAAAAATTTAAAAAATTATTTCAAATATATTAATTTTTTTATCTCATATTTTAATTAAAAATTATTAGAATAGTCTATTCTCAAAATAATATTATTTAGGATGGGAGAATAAAATATATTTTAAAAATAAGTAAAAAAATAAAAATTATATGAAATTTAATAAAAACTGTCATTTGATTTCTTATAGTAAAATATGTTATTTATTTATGGAAAAAAAAACAATATTGATTGTCAAAGAGCAATCAAATCAAAAATTTAATTTTTTTTAAAAAAAATAATCTTTGAATCTAATGTTGTTGGTTCGTGTAGCCTTTTATTTCAAACTAAAAGGCTTTTCACTTTATGTCCATGTTCATTAACCTTTGGTTAAATCATATGATTACTCTTTGAATCACGGGGAGTGTGATTAAGCCGAACAGCATCTCCAATTCAATCCTCGCATTAAGAGGGTGAATATAATTTTTTTATTCAAAAAAACAAATATAGAATATATTACTATTCATTCAAACTCCAACTACAAATTTTCAAAACCCTTCATCCTCCCTCATCAAAAAGTAATTTTTTTCATTAACAAATATTTAATTTTAAAATTTTTATAAAATATATTTAATATTAACTCATTTTAAAGGTATGATTTCACATTTTTTAATGATGTCAATTTTATAAAAATTAAATTTACATATTAAAAGTTATTTGTAATATAATAAAAAATATAGAATGAATAGTATTTTGGAGGGCATCCTCTATTTTTCATCCTCCTTTCATATTTGGAGGATCAACTCATCCTCCTCCCAAATAGAGATGGATTTAGAGGATGGATTGGAGGAATAAATCCTTCATATTTGAAGTTATAGAGGATGCATTGGAGATGCTCTAATACCTGCCTGAAAAAAGACTTTCCAAATGAAATTAGATAAATTATTAGATAATTCTAAAATATTATTTTATATTACTTACGTGATATTTTTTATCATAAAAAATAATAATGTATACTGCATTATTTTTTAAAGAAAAATATTAATAAATCCCAAGTTTAGATAGTTTGAATCATATAGTTCTGTAATTTACTTTGTAGACTAAAAGATCCCAAGTCAGTGTTATTTATACTTAAACCTACGAATGTAACGCGTGGGTTGGCTGTTTGGAGGGATAAATTGGGTGTTTAGATGATGTTGTAGTTACCAAAACGCCAAAAAGCATACTATAGCAATTTTTTTCTTTTTCCTCCATTGCAAACAAAATGGAAGCTCAAAAATTAGAATTTCAACGTTTCCTTGTAGATGTTGTAGTGTTGATCCTCATTTTGTGTGAGTTGGACGCTGGATTTGGCAACGTTGCACCTAGCATTCTCTATTTCCCAAATAATATTACAGAACCCATTCAAAATACTAGAAAATCCAAAAACCCCTTCTAGCAAATTTGGGCACTGAGACATCTAGGAGTGCGATTAACATTATTGAAGTAACATCAATGATTTCACATCAATCCGTCAACAGCAGCGTTGATCGTGTATTGGTGTGATGACAATAGGTATGGGTGTCTTCAATGTTATTTTAGTTGTTTGTGGAACAATACAGCATCAAGGTCGATGCTCGAAATGGGATGTTGTTTAAATGGTACGTAATGTGGGGTTTTAGGTGATGTTGCTAACATTGCGATTTTGGGGGTTACCAGTGACACCAAATGTAATGTTGTGCATGTACGTAATGTGACAGACGCATAGTGCTTTAGTTAATGTTTATATGATTGGTTGGGTCTCGTGTAATGTTATTATTTTTGTGGGTGTGGGGGTTACCAGTGATTGCAAATGTGATGTTGTGCATGTATATAATGTAATCGACACATTGTTTTTATTTAATATTGTTATGATTCTTTGGATCTCTTGCAATGTTAGTATTTTTGGGGACTAGTGAGAGGATAACATTAATAATGTAACACAAAGTAGGTAACATCAACAATCCCCACAATCACTCCACGAAATCCCTAACAAAATGAAAATGTTAAATCATACCTTACCCATATACACCCATATCCCCAAAAAAACCAAAACTAAGGCCAAGTTTGGCATCCTCCAAAAAATTCAAAAAGTCAAAAAGTCACTATCCTATTTAAGTCACATCATCTAATTTAAGTCATATCACTTCAAACCCAACCCATATTTCATAAAAAATAAAAAAGTGCACTTATTTAGTCTTCCCAAACTTGGCCTAAATCTCAAATAAGGGCAAATAAGTAAACTCTAATATTACTAAATCAAATCAATAATACATACTACAAATAAAAAGGACTAATTGGTTTATAAAAAAACATGTAAGATTAAATGGACTAACATTTTCTCAAATAGGATTTATGAGTAATTTTTCCTATTTTTTATTCTTAATTACCTAATAAATACAAGTTAGTCTCCTTGTATGTTACTGTTAGATTTTAGTGTAGAAGCTAGGCATGTGTTTTCCACCCTCGAAGAGTGTGTTGCCTTTGAACGTGTAATGAGTCTCACTGTAATATCTATTTTTTGATATAAAATTTATGACTTACCTACCAATATATATATATATATATAAGTTAGTTGTAAAAAATTTTACTAAGTGATTGATTTTGAACACCGCATACATAATGGCACACAACGTTCCAAATCTATTGAATGATTAATTACCTATGAAGGGGGCCTCAATCCAAATTCTAGTGTTGTAAGGTGGAGAAATTTTTATATGTAAATAGGGTATCATGTGACATTATTTTTCACCAATTATAAATGTATATGTTCTTTATTGTTCTCTAAACATCTAACATAAATATAGTGGATCATACTGTTCGCATATAAAAATTACTCAGTAAGGTGACACTAGAAATACTTTATCCTTTCCATACTATTATTTTTCTTATCTTTCCGTATTCTATTTTGTGAGTCTTATCTCGAGAATGTATTGATAATTTAAACTATTCATCTTATAAAAGTTGTAGAAAAGTTGAGTTGTATAAATAAATTGATGTTATTGGATACCACTAAACACATGAACAAATTATATTTTATTTTTCTAAAATGGAAAGCAATCATGAGTTTTTTTTTTTTTTTATTACGACTTATTCACCCAAAAAAATTGTGAGTTTTAACCTTTTTTTAAAAAAATTATTTTTTATAGATTTAATTCATATAAGATATTATAATTGTACGGACATAAAAAAATACCGTATTTGATGATAAAGAAATCTAACGAAGAAGATGATTAGTACCATCACGCGATCGCTATCTGCAAGACAAAACACCTTCAGCCGTAGCCAGGGGCCCTCCGACACCCAAGTCAGTCTTCCAATATTATCAAAATATTTAATGGACTAATTCATAGAGAGAAATTGCGTACCTTAACCCATGAGGGTGTTGCCTATTTATTATATCCAGTAACTTGCTTAGCAAGTAGTTTGAATGTTTCAGAAGTCCTATCCCAAACAAACTCCGGTTGTTCAGGACTTCTATATCGATAAGATTTCATATTCTGATGAGTTTTGCATAACATAAAATACTAATGCAGTGTTTGATAAGAATTTGACAACTGTCATACATGTGATAATTTATAATTACGCCACGTGGCAGTGTCGAGACCCATATAATTCTTGTGGTTGTTTTTATTCCCTCTCAATTGTCTCTAAGCTTTCATTCTCTTTGAACCCAGTGAAAGAGTGGAAGTTTTTCTATTGTTCTGATAAAAATAGGTATGTAATATTACCTAGCTAGAACCATACATGGGTGCTAGGGCTTATTCAAAAATGCCTAACCTTATTAGGACTTATTCTGAAAATGTCTAGCCTTGCCGAAACTTATTCCAAAAATGCCTAACCCCTTTAGGACTTATTCCGAAAATTCCTAGCCTTGTTAGGACTTATTCCAAGAATGCCTAACCTCGTTAGAACTTATTTCGAAAATGCCTTGTTAGGACTTATTCCAAGAACACCTAATCTGGTTAGGACTTATTCTGAAAATGCCTAGCCTTGCTAAGACTCATTCCAAGAATGCCTAACCTCATTAAAACTTATTCTACAAATGCCTTGTTAGGACTTATTCTAAGAACGCCTAATCTTGTTAGGAACTACCAAAACACCAACTTGCTTATTGGCAAGCAAAACCTGCTCGGCAAGGAACCCCGTTGTTGGACAAACCACCAACCTACTCTGTAAAAATTTTCAAACTTGGTCAAACTTGCCAACCCACTTTGCCAAGCAAAACCCACTCAATAAAGATTTTCTAAGTTGGTCAAACCTGCCTACCTATTTTGTTGAGCAAAACCTGCTCGACAAAGATTTTCAAAGTTGATCAAACCTGT